TTTTGCAGCCTCCCGACATCTCCCCCGTTTAAGGGAAATTTAGGGAGTTGTGCCTTCCCACCATATTACAAATAGCGTGTATGGTAGGTGTCGAGCAAAACTGCAGGTATGGGTCTTCGAAGTACTTGTTTGAAAATTTAGTTTTTTCCCGGAAACATAATGTCTCATGAATGGGTACCAAGGGTTGTCCCCGCCACCCTATGAAGAGTGTGTACATGGCCTACTTGTCTCACCTCATGCACCACACCGGGCTCTATCCTATCACACTATGAAGAGCATGTATGGGTGGTCCCCCGCCACGCGCGAGTACCAAAAGTAGGATTTTTTGGCTTTTTGTGTTTCAGAGACATCATTATACCTTTGCGAGGGTGGCGGTGACGTCAGCGTCGATGGCATGAGAATCAAAACAAAAATTGCATTGTTTTCTTATTTTTTTTTATATTTGGTTGTTTTAATAATGAAGAGAAAAGGAGATGGCTATAAGTGGTGGTTTGTAGTTGGTGGAAGTGGAGTTGCTTTGCTAGAGGAGGAAGAGTGTTTGTTGTTGTGAGGGAGTAGAGTTGAAGGAATATGCAAGGGTAGTTGGCTGTGGAATTGGATAAACCAAGAGCTGGACTAATGGCATCGGCATAGTGAGACTGTATGAAAGTTGCAGATTGGGATTGTTTGTGTCATGGAGATTTGCTAAGATGGAGGAATTGGGTCCACTGGATTGTGTAATTGGGTCAGGTATTTGAACTGGTAGTCGAGCTAGACGACTATGTGCGATCGGGTAGCTGAAGAAAACGGGATAGGGTTCTTTAAACAAGATCAAACTATAGAGCCGGATGGGTCAATCGAGATGCTCAATTAGTTTGATCGAGTGCAGGAGGACGGTCGAATGCCGGTTGGGTTGTTCGGCTATATTGGGCACGAGTTGATCAGCTAGATCGTAGACGGAGGCTGGAAGGGGGAGATTGGATGGTGCAAATAGTCGGGTCTTCGATCAGGAGGAAGGGTGTGATTGGCCTAGCAGCAATCTTTTTCCTGCTCGCATGAAATCGGCTTGGGCAAGGTGATATCGGATGAAAGTCGGAAGTAGGTCAGTACAAGTAAAGATTCGCAGAGGATAATTTGCATGAAATATGGGAAGGAGAGCTATCCGTTAGATTGCGGGTTCTGTTCTTCCTGAAGCAGGGATCGACAACAATGATCGAAGGATCCGAACAAGGGAAATGGCATAGTAGTCGGGTTGCACGATCGAGCATTGAGTGTAGTTAACAGTTGGATTTGCTTAGGTGGCTTGGTGGAGGTTGGTGGAGTTCGGATCGTGAAGCATAAATAGATGGTGGAGGGAGGAATGTATTCGGTTGGGAACTCTGAATCGAGGAGATTTTGCGTGAGGGAAGATGAAAAGAATGGGTCATTTTTAATAGTTAAGAGTGTCTCCGTTTAGGCTTCGAGCAAAGCAGAGCAAATTCTGAGTTGTTTCGGCGTCGATCAGTAAGTTTTACTGGGATTTGAGCTGAAAATCGAGGAAAACCGGCGTTGGTGCAGTTACAAGGAATTTTTATTTCTATATATATATATATATTTTGTTTGATATTCTTTTATTTTTTATTTTTAATTATATAATAATAATAATAATAATAATAATAATAATAATAATAATAATAATAATAATAATAATAATAATTTTTATTATTATCATGGAAATGACAAGAATGATGTAGAATTTTGCATGCATCAAATTGTGTGTGTCATTTCCTCAATTTGTGTGTGATTGCCACGGGATTCATTCTGGTTTCCTTGCATGAATTTTGTTGAACAAAGTTACAATTATTTTTAGTTGACTTGGACGTTTCGAATGCAATAGCGAAGTCTGTTTTGTGACTGTACGTCATTTGGGCAACGTCACACGTCAATTTCAGGTGTCGGTCGCTAATTTTGATCGTTTCCATCGGATTTGACTTTGAAGGGCTCCTGCTTAATTAATTATTTATATGAGATTAATTTGGCCGCTTGGCAAGCCTTGGTGAATATTTTTGTAAGAAACTCGCTTTATGCTAGCGTGAGGAATGCACAATACTTTGGTGATCTCGTTCATTTTATCTCTTTTATCTTTGTTTTGGTGTGTGTGCGTGATTGAACTTTTGTCAAGTGTGATACATAACGCATATCTTTCTGTCGTGTGAGTCTTAGAATCGTTTTAAAGTTTTATGTTTGGTTTTTAAATTTCTTGTGAAAATTTCGAAGTTTAAAATGAAATAAACATGTTTGGGGATGACTAAATTATTGTTTGGAATAAAATACGCATGTTTTCTGAATTTGCATAAAATATTATTAATCTTTGCTTATATTGAAAGTTTGGCAAATAAGATTGTATTTTTTATGTCTTCATCATGTATATGTTCCTAGGTTTCATTAGCATACCTTTGACCTTTATTATTCTACGTAAAATCATTACCAAAACTTATGTTTGTATAATCGTGTCATCTAAAAGCCAGATATGTCCAGATATGGCTATCGGGTCAATTGAAAATATAATAAATGATCTAATCAAACTCAACATAGTTATTGTGCGGATTTAAATTACATTCCTACATTTGAGGCATAATCTTGAGGAATTTTTATGCTAGATAGATAATTTAAGATACTTATTTGAAAATTACTATTTGTTGATTTTGAGTGACTTGTATGTGCTAAATCATAACTAGTGGGTCATTCTTTATCATTTTGGAAAAGTATTACAATTAAAATTGATGAAATAACAATATTTTTCTATTTAATGAATACAGAGTTCAACAACATGAATAATTTAAAAATTGTAAGCAAGGCGAATGTGGTGTATATGAATACTATGATATGTTTATGAGTGTTGTAGTTAAACATTATTTTTCTTCATATTATTTTATTATTGTTATTTGTTTCATTAATGAGTTAAGTGAGAGATTGGAATGAATTGAGTGCATGAATACTCCTTCGAGGATACAAAAGAAGATTTGCAATTTTGTTGAATGTGAATCTACATATATCAGAATTCATTCATGAACTCGAGCATGTTCTTGAATACAAATTACAAACGAAAGTTGAATTTGAAGTTTAAATTTACTTCAGTTGTGAGCTATACCACCATTTGAAACTTAACTTGAACTTGAGACGATTGATTATATTTGAACCTAAATTAAATTCTAAATCCAATCCTGAGAATGAACCTATACTTCCCATTGAAACTCCTAAAGATAGACCTAAATTTTTAAAGGGCATTGAATATTTTTCTTAATGAGATGGATAAATCATGCTTGTAATAGTCAATAAATCTAATGAGAAATTTGATAACGTGAATGCTAAGTGTAAAATTGAACAACTCATGACTATTATATATGATAAATCAATTGTACCTCTAATGAAAATTTTAACAAATTTATTTCTACTAATCAAACATACTGATTTTATTTTGGATTTTTTGCTTATTGGTTTGCAAACTCGTAAACAAACACTTATTAGGTGAAATTAAAATTGCTCTAATATTTCAATGAATTTGTAAATTCCAAAAGCTATAAAAGAAACATGAATTTTGAAGTATTGTCAAATCTTAAATTATATAAATTACCTCCGTTAATATTTAAGCCATTTCAGTTAGTTTTCTATATGGAGGTTATTCACCCGGTTGAGCATTTCATAAAAGTCAGGTGCACATCTTTTCAATTTTCGTTATCTTCTCAATTTAAACAAGCTAGATTATAAATCATTATTAGATTTCGTTATGATGCATATTAGCAATCTAATATTTTCATTATTTTTTCCATGTTATTTATATTATTTGAATAATTTGTCTAATTTTCATGAAGAGATTCGGAGAAAATTAATTGTTTATTATAATAGTATTAACTGAGACTTGTTGAATTCAAATATGTAGTAAGATAATCGTGTGTTTTAATCTTGAAATGCTTCCTACGGGGACCTTTAAGAAATTAACAATAAAAAATATAGGGTCATATGAGATCATACATCAAATTAGAATAAATACTCATGAAATGAAAATTTCAGTAAGCTCTCTATTATTTCGAACTAAATTTCATGAACCTTTTGTTAATATTGTGAATTCCTCTCTCTTTTCATCTATTCCTTATGAATTTATATCCAACAACTTACTAGTTAGTTTTTCTTATTTTATTATATAAGCTATCTTATATGTAGGTATTATACTCACTGCTGATGTTGGATGTCAGAGGTTTTCTATGTTTGGTATAATAGAGTTGTTTTTGATGATTCATTAATTATTGTGTTTGAAGCATGACTATTTTGCATAGATCTGTATGACAGAGATTAAATACTTAATTTTATTAGAACTGAATATTTTTCAAGTTGACTAGAATGATGCTAATTGGAAGGCCTTAATATTTACTTTAATAGGGTTGTACAAAGTATTTTTAGTTATACTGTTTGTGCCTATAATTGATAATGGATAGTAGAGGTTTCTAGTGCTTTGGGATTACATATTTATTCATGATGATTCATAGAGTGTTTTTTCTTGGTAGGAAGCGTAAGTTTTTTGCCCACATCTATTAAATGCTTAATTTCATAGAGCTGGATTTCTCAAGAAAGTCAAAATGATATAAAAAGGCCGATGTATTCACTTTCTAAGGATTATAGTTAAAATTGGATCTGCCTCGAGTTTTTTATGTTTTCTTCTCTTTTGAATTTTAGCAACCAATGAACTTTCCTCCTGGCTCTCGGGACTATAGAATTCAACGTCTTTGTTTTTGCAAGATAGTTGCTACTTTAGTAGCTTTCAATTTGTAGAACTATTGCTGCAGCTGATTCATAAATCTTGTATTATTTGCGGTTTTCCTTTGTTTCTTGCAGCACTTTCTCACCCACCCCACCCTCTGAAATGCCTTTAATGTCTGTGTGTTTCCCTGCTTGCTTTTCCCATCCTACTTTTGCTTTTAGCAATCTAATGCAGTAATGCCAACATTTTATTTAAAGTTTTTTGTTTTTTCTTTTATCATACTCAGGCAGAGTGTTATCATTATTTATTTGATGCTGCAATTAAACTCCATCAGTTGGGAATTGACTGGAAAATTCCAAGCCATGGTCTTATAAAAAATGAATCTTATCAGAGTGGAAGCAAACGGAAGTTTAATGTTTATGCAAATTCAGGACTTGCTGTACAAGCTTCCGTACCTTCAAGGGTAAGTTCCTCGTTTCTTTTTTTGATAGGCTCTTAAAATGTAATAGTTTAGAAAAAAGAGCATGACCATAAACAGGTGGTACTCTTATATAGGAGAAAATATATATTTCCCTCTTCTACACTCATTAACTTTCGTTAATGACTTTACAGAAACCTGAATGGGAATATTGTAATTTGTAATCTTCTTATGGTATGTTGCAGAAATTCATTGTGCTTGATATTGAGGGGACAACAACGCCAATATCTTTCGTCACAGAAATTCTTTTTCCCTATGCTCGTGATAATGTGCGGAAGCATTTGACATCTACATATGACAGCTTGGAGACCAAAGATGACATTAAACTATTGCGTGCCCAAGTAATGGTTTACTCTTTTTGCTATAGCACTGTTCAGCTTTGTCCATTTTTTTTAAAAAAACTTGTATTAGTTATATTGTAAATGCTTTTCATTGGGCTTGCTAGATGATCATTTTCTAGCCATGAAATCATATAAAATGCAACATTGCTGCGTTATTCTTAAAATTTAACTGAAAAAAAACTCTATCTCTGTATCTTGCCATTCATGTACATTTAATAAGTTGCCCTTTCTTTTATAGCGATATATTCATGGTGTATTTTATGTATTTATTATCTTTGATTTGATGGTTTTTAATTGAGAATTTATAAGCTTTTCTTCTGTACGATTCGTAATATTCTATTTGTCTTTTTTGAAATAAAATATCTTAAATGCTTTCCCATTCTTTTGAATGCACGTCAGCTTCCTTTTGAATCTTTCTATTCTGAATTAATAACTTCTTTGCTAAGTGTCAAAAACACTTTTTGGTTCTTGAATGTCTTTGATTTATCTTTGCAATTTAATTTAAATCATAATTGTTTTTTTTTTTGAATATCTATATAGTATCTAGTTATGTTTGCATTTCTATACAGGTTCTTGATGACTTGGAGAAGGGTATTGCAGGTTCTACACCCATTCCACCTGACGATACTGGGAAAGAAGAAGTGATTGAGTCCTTAGTTGTCAATGTTGAGGCAATGATAAAAGCTGACAGAAAAATCACAGCACTAAAACAGTTGCAGGTAATAAAATGCATATAATTACATGGAATGCTCATGCCCACTTATTGCTGTTTATTTGTCTTTTATACTTTTACATTCAGGGACATATATGGAGAACTGGCTATGAAAATAATGAATTGCAAGGTGTTGTTTTTGATGATGTTCCTGAAGCTCTTGAAAGGTGGCATGCTAGTGGCATCAAGGTATGATCAAAACTTATGTTTGAGATGTTTAATGCCATCAGATGTAACATTTTTACTGGACGTGCTGTTATGCTATAGTTAGGTTACTTTAGGCTGTTGCTTTCAATTAACAGCACAAAAATCTATCCTAAACTGCTTGGTTAAGGATTTCTTGGAAGTTGTCGAATCCAAATTTGTTTGTGGGAGACACTTTGACTTTATCAAAACTAGCTAATGTGATGGATGATGAATAAGAAGAAATTTGTCTGCTTAATATTATAAGCTTTAATGGCAAAAGATCCAAAATCCAAACCCATCATTTACAGGGTTGGGAAGGCGATAAGAAATGCTGCACCTAAAAAAATAATAGAATAGTACAATATTTGATTACATATCGGTTAATTAGGATGAATATGTGTCTCCTGCCATGTTGACTTGGTTTGGGTCGTGGCAAGTGCCTCTGGTGAAAGCCCTTGGCGAGTGCCCTCGGAGAATCCATTTGGCAAGTGCTCTAGGCTATTATGTTCTAGTTTCAGATGCCAACTAAGTGGTTGTAGTTGGTGTAGTCACTACAGCTAAGTCTAGGTAGGTGAGCATCTCTTACTGATAGAATTGTGGGCTTCGAAAAGTTGCGCCCTTGTTTTATTGAGAAATTTTAGGTGTTCCAAGTGAAATTTCCGTAATGCATATTTGATTGCATATAAGACATAACACAACTATTTCGCCTTCATTTTATGAGGACTTAATAAGATAGTTTTTGATTTCCCATAGGAGCAAGCCCCTATGGTTAACTACTATTCCCAAGCTTTCGATTAGGGCTAGTTGTTAGAAGTTGAATGCTAAGTATATAGTAGCACCAATTTGATTCACACTAAACAAATGTACTACCAAAAATTAAAAGTGGATGGTGGGGGAAATGATGCTGAACCCAATTCAAATCTCATAGCATTGTTATGGATTATAATTTACTTAGTCATAGGAGGTAGTCGACTTAACTCAACTAAATAATCCTTCTCAACATCCATTGGTCATATTATCGAAAGGCAGCTTTATAGATCTGGTTGAATGTTTGTCCAAAATGATAAATTAAAGTCCATCTTAACAAACAAAAGGCTTTGTGCCTTATTAAGTTTACCCTATGATTTATAATTCAAGGGTTTTTAAGTTATTAACAACTTATATGATTTAGCCATGACTGTAATTTAATAGTGTCATGTTTGCAATCAAACCACTTGGTTATAACTTTTTACCAGTAGCTCCATTTGATGGTAAAATCATTGATTAAAGGACACAAGGCATATCCTTACTAGTGATAGATTATTTGAGAGTGGATATAGTGATATGTTTAAAAAGATATTAACTCTTTCTGAGCTAAGGTTATTTTTTAATTTATCACCTACAACAAAGATTGTAGCAGGTAAAAGATTAAGGAGTGGTATATTTTTCTTTAATAATTTTATACTTCTCAAAATTTTGGATTTTTTTATATTATCAAGATTTAAGTTTAAAGTGATTTGCTGTAAGATTTGGGGGCAATTTAGAAATCACGGTCTCCTTAGCTGATATTTGTTTTCAACATGACCATCATCAAGGTTTTGGGATGCTTTCATCTTGTTACTTTTGACCTTGCCAACTCCGCAAATTTGTGCGCAAAGAATTGGGTTAGATTTGGGTTTACTTCTCGTTTGCCCTACATTCTCAGACATTAGGTTTGAACCTTGAGCATGATTGTCAAAGTATATATAGATGAATTTAAAATATATATATATATATATATATATAGATGAATTTAATTTAATAAAAGAGTTAGTAAATTTAAAAATTATTTTAGGCTTTTAGCACAATTGCATGGTTTTTAAAGCTAGATAATTTAAGTTTAATTTATTTTTAACCAACACAACATTCTAATATTCAAATTTGGACATTAGCACACTTATTGAAGCACGAGCACGTGAAATTATTTTGGCGACTTCATGTATTTTGTACGCCCTTCAATGTGTTTATAAAGCTTACATATTTCATAATGCACTTGCATTTTTATATGCATGTATATGGTACACTTCCACGCATTTCGGTGCATTTTCATATTTTTTATACATTCGCATGGTTAACTTGCATATTTTTTTGGTGCATTCACATTATGTACTCACATTTTTTGTCATACTCAAAACGCTTTTGGGACAGTGACACGCTTCATGGAGTAGTTGCATGCTTCTTGAGATAGTTACATTTTCTTGTAGTAGTCGCACACTTGTTGATGCAATTGCATACTTCTCGTGTGCTTCTTGAAGTAGTTGCATGCTTCTAGAGCCAACTAAATGCTTCTCGAGGCAATTTCCTTTGTATTTGAAAGTTGTGTTACGATGCATATATAATTTTGAAATATCATGCTTTTAATTATTTGCATGAATATATGACATTTAGACGCATGCAATGTTTCATTTTGAATTCTAAAATGTTGTCTTTTGTCTCTTCCCTACTTATGTGCATATGTTATGGATTCGATTATGTTTTTGATGAATTTAAATATTGTTACATTTTTTACTTTACCAGAATTTATTTTCAAGTGGCTGTAGTTTAATGTGATGGGTTTTGTGAGGAATTACATTTTCTTGTTATAAATATGGCCACTCCCTAGTTCATTTCTATTGTTCAAATTCATTGAGCGAGTTCTTAAGAGTTTTGTGTTATTCATGAGTGCCCTAAGAGTGTACGAAGATTCAAGTTCTTACTCATAAGCAGCTGCATTGTTCAATAAATGTTCTTTGTAAGTGTTGACCTATGTGTAAAAGAACAAAAAAAGAAAAAAAATCCTGCATACCTTGCACAGTCAAAATCTATACCCATGCAAATACTGCAGAAATCCCACTGAAATCTCTGTGTATTCGGCGCAGCTTCTATCTCCTCACACAAATTTCGCTACAGCTCCTCGATCCCGCTCCCATCCAGGTCTTTAAATACCGAGCGAACGAAGTCACTCGGCACTGGCTCTCCGCTCTCTACTTCCTCTCCCACGACCGAATTCCTCTGCTTCCCGCTCTTCTCCCGTTCGCTACCTCTCTCGCAAGCAGCTGCTACGACATCTCTCCCTCACACACACTCCAGCTCCGACACTTCCTCCATCCCGTCGCTGCATCCCGATTCTCAGAGAGAGAGAGAAAGAGAGAAAGAGGGAGAGAGAGAGCAAGAGAGGCTTTACCTTACCTTACCGAACCAGCTCCGACGCCCGATCTCCTCTCTTCCCCGCGACCAAGACTCAAACCCGACTCCTTCATACTCCCAATCCCCTCTGCCTTAGAATCTCCCCTAGCCGGTGCTCATCCTCCATCGGGTCGGAAGTTCCGACATTTTGATCTCAAGCAACAACAGGAGCGGCTTGCTGTGAAGGTAACTTTCTCCCTTCAGCTCGCTTCTTCGGCCAAGTCCCGTAAAATCGAGAACTGAGAGCAGTAGGGAGAGGAGGGATTTGATTTTTCTTTTTAATATTATAATTAATTATAATTATTAGCATTTATAATTAATTATAATTGATCCAAGCACGCCTTTGGTGCGCGTGGTGGGATCGGATCCCGGTGCGACACCTACGACGAGGTAGGGGAGTGACCCCTCTATTCATGTGCCAACCACGACAACCCCGCTAAGGTACGAATTCTTCTAAACTCAAAACTCTGCTTCAATGTTCGTGGCGAACTGGAAAACCGCTCCAAGCACGCCTTTGGTGCGCGTGGTGGGATGGGACCCCGTTGCGGCACCTACAACGAGGCGGGGTCGCTCAAAAGTACCTCCGAGCGGGGGGAAATTAAAATTGCTTTTCAAAAATGCTTTTTAAAATCACATGCAGGCCTTTGGTGGCGTGGTGGGAGAAAACAAAATACAACCGCCGCGGTGTCTCATCAACACCAACCGTGCACGTCTTTAGTGACGTGGCGGGTAGGCGGCCTCTTGGTTTTTCCCCTAAACGGGGGAGACGCCCGGAAGTTGCCAAAATTTTGTCTGAAATACAGACAAGGACTTGGAACAAATTGGACTTGTGGACCTGATTCAATTGATCTAAATAAATATGAACTCATGTATAAAGAAGAAGAAGAAGAAGAGCACATAACTTGGACTCTCATTTGAACTTCAACAAGGATTTGAACTCATTCTTGAACTTGCAAATGAACTATAACGAAGATTTGAATTAGAATATGATTTGAACTTGAACTCCACAAAAACAACAGAAGACTTGAGTTGGACTCAAACTGAACTGCACTTGAACTTAAACTTGAACACAAATGAGCTTGGTGCAAGAAGTCTTAGCTTAGACTTGAACTTATACTCTGGACTCAAGCTTGCATATGGAGTAAATGATAGCGAACTGAGCTATAGTTTGAATATTAAATGAATGACATGTAACTTTGCAAAGTAACAATATTAATCATACAAGCAAGGACATGTGATATATACAATGATGAATTTATGATTGATATCATCATATAAGCAAGCGAATGGAAATAAATCTTCAATACATGCAAGATGATGAGCTTCTAATTTGATTGCAAGTAGAACGAGTTTCCAATATGACATGCTTCTAATCAACATAGCAAAGTCTTCAATCAACATCAAGATGCTATCGTGTCAGCAAAGGTCTAGGTTAAATACAAAGGGAATATATATGGAACTTATCGTGAAACGGAAGATCTATAATGACTATAGAACCTACAAACATCATGAAGACTCATGCATCAAAGGCCATTAGGAAGGTTTGGCATGCAATAGACATAACAAGGTGACACATTTAGATGCATTCGAGTGAACATCAACATACAAAAGATTAGTTCATCCGTGTAAACAAGTAAAAATCAAATACAAAAACATTGCAAGACTACTTGAATGAGTAAGGCATTACGATGAATAAAGCTCCAAGTATGATTGCTCGCATGAAGTGGCTAATAACAATCAGGAATGAGGTGTGATTTAAATATAGATAGATCACAAAGAACCTTAGCAACAAATTGGTTCTTTGAGATGTATTTAAGAAA